TATTTATATATTCTATGTATTCTTCAACCTATTTTATAATTTCTATTTTTCTACTAAAATGTCTATTTTACTGAGAGCAGGAAGGGGGAACCCAGGCCAAGCCTGACCTTAACTAAGAAACCCTTAGTAGAGGATATAGGGACAAGAGTCCAGAGGGGAACAAGGCCACAGTCATATGTAGACCAGAGTATCAGAGAGAAGAGTGTAGCACACACACACAAAACAAACCCTGAACATCTGCAGAAGACCCACCGAGAGTATCCAGCCACATCCTGATCAGTGCATGTGTATAAGGAAAGCATCTGAGGCTGGGGAAAGCACCATCCAAAAGGCTTAGGAAAGAACAGTACCAGGTCCTCATACTGGAACAAGGAATAGTGGTGCTGGTTCCCACAACAGTGGATTAGCCCTAGAATGAACACTACTCCACTGCTTTTCTTAATTTTGTAGCTGTTGTGCTGCTTAGCCAGCACTTAAACCCTTAAGGAGCTGAGGCCTGGTTAATTTCAACTCTCCTGGGTATCAGGTATCATTCTGGGCCTCTGAAAACATAGTTTAAGAACACATCTAGGGCTTCCCTGGTGGCGCAGTGGTTGAGAATCTGCCTGCCAATGCAGGGGACACGGGTTCGAGCCCTAGTCCGGGAAGATCTCACATGCCGCGGAGCACCTGGGCCCGTGAGCCACAACTACTGAGCCTGCGCCTCTGGAGCCTGTGCTCCGCAACAAGAGAGGCCACGATAGTGAGAGGCCCGCGCACCGCGATGAAGAGTGGCCCCCACTCGCCGCAACTAGAGAAAGCCCTCGCACAGAAACGAAGACCCAACACAGCCAAAAATAATAAATTAATTAATTTAAAAAAAAAAAAAGAACACATCTAAAATCAGGTAAGTGTTTCAACAAAGCACATCCCTCCCCCAAGGTTCATAAATCTAGCTTTGTTGCTAATCCTTCCCAGAACAAATGAAGCACGGAGGAGCTAATCCAAATATACTAGCTACACGTGGAGTGTTTACTGCACTGGAAATAATGAAAATAAATAAAGCAGTGTTATTATTGACGCCATAAAATCCATATGGTGAAAACTAATCTTATTTTGTTATTTTAGTATATCAAAACATTCATAATATTTATGACTTTCTTACATCAGAGAAAATGGTGTTTCTTCAAAGCTTCTAGAAAGCAATGTTTCAATTCACTGTTGTGATGTACTTTTGGAGTTCTGCTGTCAAAAATATTTCACTGGACCTAAAAGAGGAAACACAATGGCTTTATCCAAACCCTCCTTCACTTCAGCCTTTTATTTAGGTTCATTTCTGGTCTTCAAATTTTCCTTCTATTCCAAAGCAAAAGCTTCTTTTCCACTGCTAATGTGAAGTGTTTTTATCAATATTTGTACTCTTATATGTGAACTGGGTTACAATTTCTAGTTTGTGTTTTTCTTCCCCACTGGGCTGAGAGAGAAATATTCAAAGTTAGAGGCTATAATTGGTGTCACATGTCTGCATTTCCACCTCTCAGAACCATGCTCGGTCAGAAGTGTTGAATTCATCTTTAGAAAATGAGTGAATGGAAGGCTGAGGACAACTGCAAACACAAAGTGGTCCCCTTTCACAAGCCCCGTGCCCCTTTGTTCCTCTCCTGTGGATTGGACGTTTTCTTGAAAACCACCGAGCATTTGAAAAGTGGGACTGAACTTCCAGTCTGTCTAAATGCCCAGGCTGATTATTATCCCAAGAATATTTCCCCCTAATTAAATATTATACAAATGTTTTGTTTTCCCAGGTCTCTAATTTTGGTGGAAACACCCACCATAATATCAACTGTAGAAGGTTTAGAATCTCACATAATAAGGTCTGGAGAAAAAGGCTTATAACGAATTTCCAGACTGAAGAAGAACAGATATATGTATATGCATAATTGAATCACTTTGCTGTATACCTGAAACTAACACAACATCGTAAAAATAAAATAAAATATATAATAAAATATATATAAAATAAATATTAAATTAAAAACAAACAAAAAACAAATTTCCAGACTAAAAAGGAAGGCTAAAACCAAACACTGCTGCATGTGCCCTCAGTAACAAAATAAAGCACAAGTGAAAACAAGAATGTTACAATCACTGAGTTGTCTGGCATAAATTTGAGATTGGCAGCGGAATCCTATTATGTATCTTGATACTATTGGAAAAGTAAAAACAGGTGGTACCATGATATAATGGAAAAATTAGGACATTTATGAATTTACAATCTCAAAACAGAAAAGAGTCAACAAGTTGCTGCCTGTGAGGTAGTTGGAGGATTCAGGTGAGGGAATGATTGAACAAAGGAATCAAATACTAAGGATTTGTCTCAAGTTACATCCAGACAGCTGCCACCAGAAAGTGGTCAGTGTGAAAGTAGTATGTCTCCCAAGATTCTGACAAAGCTGAGCTTAACTCTGCATTTGATACCAAAAGTCACTATAGGATTTAAAAAAACATACATAATCAATTCCAATTCAAGATTCATTGCGAGATTTCTTAGTTCAAAACCAAGACTGGGGCTTCCCTGGTGGCGCAGTGGTTGAGGGCCCACCTGCCGATGCAGGGGACACGGGTTCATGCCCCGGTCCGGGAAGATCCCCCATGTTGCGGAGCGGCTGGGCCCGTGAGCCATGGCCACTGAGCCTGCGCATCTGGAGCCTGTGCTCCGCAACAGGAGAGGCTGCAACAGTGAGAGGCCCGCGTACCGCAAAAAAAAAAAAAAAAAAACAACCCAAGACTGAATATGATTGAGGGGTAAAATGCTAATTGTAAAGAAGTTAATGATAAAGTAATTAAGAATAGGCAGTAGCCAGCAGAATGCCACAACAGCCACCCAAGATGTCCTCCTGTGCTCTCCTTATATCTTTTCCAAGGAGGAAGTATGAAGTATGAGTTATAAAAAGATAAGAGACTGGGTGAAACTAGGGATGGTGTAGAGCTTCATCTCTGTTAAGTAATCTACATAATAATTTTTAATATATTTCTTCTCAATAAGTATTTTCTATAATTCTGAAATAGGAATGCTTATTAAATAGGGGAAAAACATACCCCATTTAGCATTTTTTCCTAGAACTGAGTCATGTGGATTGACATCATGGAGACCTGGGCTCTTATGCATTGGCCTGCCTGGCACAGGTGACTTTTTTTCAGGCAGTATAACTTTGGGCTCTAGAGGCCACTTAACTGCATTAAAATTATTACTCTACCAAATTTCTATCTCTGTAACCTTGGGCAAATTACTTACCTTCTCTAGGCCTCAGTTTCCTCATCTGCAATATGGGTATTAAAAAGGCATCTAATTCATAGGGTCATTGTGAAGACTAAATGAGGTAAATTATCTCAACATCTGCTCAGAGGAATCAATAAAAAATCTGAGTTATTTCTGTTACTATCATGAGAGCCAAAAAGGAAACTTAGAGATCACATAGGTCAAAATTATCTTAACCTCTCTCAATCTTTTATTTTTGAATTTGAAGAATACTAGGCTAAACAGACTAAATGACTGCATAATCTCTACCAATATTCTGGTATTATCCTAAGTATATAAAACCTCTTTTTAAAAACCTGTGTATTTTCTTTATAGTGATAATTTCCAAGATGAATTTAGACTTTAAATTTATTTTAAAAATAAAATACAACTGTAGTCTATATATTACTTAACAAAGCACCACAAAGTTCCTATTCTCATCCAATTTTTTCGTATCTCCTTAAAACTCATATTTCATGTCTTCTCCATCTGATAAACATACATGGTAGGGGTACTCCCTGTATTATGTTACATTATAATGCCTTATAAGGCAAAGGTGATGGGATGTCCATGATCATGGACCATGGGATAGGGGATCTCCGCGATTATGGAGACACTATGTAGATACTGTATAAGACTAACGTTCTGTTCTGTTGTTATATAAGAGTCTGCATTAGCAGACCTGGGGACTCTTTTTCAAGCTTTGAAGAAATAAGTTGCCATGTTACAAGAGGGTCTGTGAGAGGCTCATGTGGCAGGGAATTAGGGGTGGCCTCTAGAAGCTGAGAGCAGCCCCTGGCTGACAGCCAGCAAGGAAACAGGGACGTCAGTCTTATAGTCTTCTAACAATAGGAAGATGAATTCTGCCAACAGAATGAATATACATATGTATAAATATATACGATAAACCGGTAAATTTATTTCTTTAAATAGAAACAAAGTTTTAATCTTTATGGAATCAAATGAATAAATATATAACTTTGACACCTCTGCTTTTGAGCCTAAAAAATCTTCCCAGCCTCAAGATTATATAAAAACACACCTATATCTTCTAAGCTTTTTGCAGTTTCCATTTTTTACATTTAAAAGTTAATCCACCAACTAACAGGATGAAAAAAGGTCTGTGGATGGATGATAATGACAGCAGCACAACAGCGTCAACGTACTTAATGTCACTGAACTGTACACTTAAAAAGGATCAAGATGGTAAATTTTATGTGTATTTTACCACAACTTTAAAAATGTTTTAAGAAAAAACTTACCTAAAGAAAAAAAAGGTCAATTCATCTAGAACTTATTTTGGAGTGTAATGATAGGATATATAATTTTTTTTCCGAAGTCTACAGCCAATTGAATTAGCGTTACTTACTGAATTATTAATTTGTTCCTACAAATATGCATACTTGTATACCCTTGGATATACTTCTGGTCTTTTCAGATAATGCTCATTATCTGATTAGATGAAGATTTCCAATTGCCTCTGTTTCATTTTCATCTTATCCAGAAGAAAGACACCACCTAGCCATAAGGCCGTTGGCCCTGGAGCTTAGGGCAGGTATAAGGAAGGAAACATGAAGCCACAATCCTTAAGCTTTTGGTGCCATCTAGAGGACTGTTTTCATGGGTTAACCTCTGTTCAGAGTCAGACACCTCCCCTAGGAAGACACCTTTCCCCTTCTCAACCCACTAGGGCAATTTTAAATACAAAAAAATTAAGCCTTACCATGTACAGGATGGCCCTCTGCCTCCAACCTTTCTCTGCAATCCATCTTTCACAGATGCCAGGGATATAATAGTCAAGTGCAGCTCAGATCACCACTCCTGTTTTCAGAAGTTTCAATGGCTTCCAATGGGCAACAGAATAAACTACATGTAAATCAGCAGGGAGGGAAACAAAATCAAAGATGAGGAAAATCCTAAAATTTACTACAAATGAACCTAGCAGTATTTAAAGCGGGTAACATACACACACTAAAGAAGACTTTCTTTGTTTCAAGGAAAACTGAAATTCGCATCCTCTGGACAGCCTTCCTCTAATCAGAATTCATTTGCTCCCTTAGCACATTGCCCGTGCCTATCTCATAGCACTTATCTCTCTCTTTCGCATTCTAGGTAGTTAGATGCAGGACAACCTGTCACCCACATTAGACTGTGAATGCCTTAAGGATAAAGACAGCATCTGGTTCATCTCAGATTTAAATAGCCCCGATACCTTTAAGAAGAGTGACTTCCTCTGTTGAAGGTGAGTGTTGAAGGTGATTCTGGGATTTTTAAAGGGGTATTGTTGCATATGCAGTTCATTCCAGGGTATTAATCCAGATGATCCAGGCCTACCTCCCAGTTCCTACATTTTACCTGTTCATTTTTTTCTTATTTGTTTGAGCTCAAACTGATCTCATATTTCCTGCCTTTTTTATTTGTGGATTCACATTTTGGTATTCCTCATTTCTGCTCCCCTGTTAATCAACCTTAAGGTATGCCTTCTTAAATTAATGTTAGTCATTAATGTTAGTTAACATTAATGAATCATTAATGTTAGTGATTCATTTGTGCATCATCACTCATCTGTACAGCTTAAACTTCAGCAAAAACTATCCTGATGTCAAAAAAACCAGCAATATAATGATTAGAGAAACGCAAATCAAAAACTAGAATGAGGTACCACCTCACACCCATGAGAATGACCATCACTAAAATGTCTACGAATAACAAACGCTGGAAAGGGTATGGAGCAAAGGGAACGCTCCTACACTGTTTGTGGGAATGTAAATTGGTGCAGCCACTACGGAAAACAGTATGGAGGTTCCTCAAAAAACTAAAAATAGAGCTACCATATGATCTTACAATCCCCCTCCTGGGCATATATCTGGAAAAAACTGTAATTCAAAAAAATACATGCACCCCTATGTTCAAAGCAGCACTATTCACAACAGCCAAGACATGGAAGCAATCTGAATGTCCATCAACAGAATAGATAAAGAAGATGTGGTACATATACACAATGGCATATTACTCAGCCATAAAAAAGAATGAAATAATGCCATTTGCAGCAACATGGATGGACCTAGAGATTATTATACTAAGTGAAGTAAGTCAGAAAGAGAAAGACAAATATTATATGATACCACTTATAGGTGGAATCTAAAATATGACACAAATGAACTTACCTACGAAACAGACTCACAGACATAGAGAACAGACTTGTGGTTGCCAAGGGGGAGGGAGGGTGGGGAAGGGATGGAGGGGGAGGTTTTTTTTTTTTGCGGTACGTGGGCCTCTCACTGCTGCGGCCTCTCCTGTTGCAGAGCACAGGCTCCGGACGCGCAGGCTCAGCGGCCATGGCTCACGGGGCCCAGCCGCTCCGCGGCATGTGGGATCTTCCCGGACCGGGGCACGAACCCATGTCCCCTGCATCGGCAGGTGGACTCTCAACCACTGCGCCACCAGGGAAGCCCAGAGGGGGAGTTTTGAATTAGTAGATGCAAACTGTTATTGAAAGAATGGATAAACAACAGGTGCTACTGTAGAGCACAGGGAACTATATTCAATGTCCTGTGATAAACCACAGTGGAAAAGAATATGAAAAGGAATGTTTATACATATGTATAATTGAATCACTTTGCATACAGCAGAAATTAACACAACATTGTAAATCAACTATACTTCAATTAAAAAAAAGAATAACAGGGTTATATTGTCTCATTTAAATTTCACAGCAATCTAGTTTTTACTCATCTGTCACAGCTTAATTCAATCATCACTTCCTTAAGGATGCATCCTCTGATGTCCTTCACTATACCAAACCTTTATTAAATATAGCATCTTATAGCACTGTGCATCTCTTTCATAATGCTTACCGCAGTTAAAATTTTACATTTTTTAACCAAAGTCTATCTTCCCTTTTGAACATTAAGTCCCTTTGAGGCTTAATAATATCTACTTTTGTCCACCACAGTGTCTCCACTGCCAGCTAAGCCATAAGGATCATCTTGTCCAGAAGTAATCCCCAGCAGAGTGGCCTCACACAAAGGATTGGCCTTATGCAAGTTCAGTGGAAACTCGTTAAGGCCCAGTTTTTAAGGCAATCAATCCTGGTCAGCTGCACAGCTTGGACAACAGTTGCCACAACAGTCCCACAATCATGAACGCTGATGTAGCAAATCCTGCCACTAGTTTGCTGTCATACAGCTTCAATTCCAAGACTTTCACCCCAGCCCACTAACACCTTAGAAGTAGTGTTAGTCACAGTAACACCTTTGCAGTCCTTATTTATATTCTACTGTCTCTGCTTTCTCTAGTCCTTGACAGCTGGGCTGGCTAAAAATCTCCACCAGGGGTCTGTGTCCTCTTCTTAACCAGTCTAAAGTAAGGTAGATAGATTTTATTATCAAGGCCTCAACTTCTTCAAATCCCAACCATAAGCAATGAGTGACAAGAGGTTAAAGCGAAGGTTCTGTCATGACATATTGCTATTGGACCTAACCCCTAACTATTCCTGGGTAGGGGCTGGTACTTCCTATATTGTGCAACCCAAAAGCCCCAGAGCCCAAATGTAGGAGTTCTCTCCCAAAGCTAATGTCTAATCCTGCTGGATCTCTGTGCATTCCCCTAGAATGCATCTGGGCAACCACCAATTGCTACTGCTCTGTTTCTGTGAATCTTCCTTAATTCAACAGCCATGTATATTTGCTGCTGTGCTGTTTGCCTCGTTCACATAAAATTATAAGTGATTGATATATAGTGGATACTGCATAAATACTGGCTCAACATTTGATCTAGTAAGTAAACAGAGAGGTGAACAAACAACCTCATAAGGTGAGCACTCCTATCTCTATTTTACAGGTAAGCCAAACAAAGCAGAGGTAACCAGGCCCATATCACACAGTTAGTGAATGGTGGGTATAGGACGTGAATTCAGGTCTACCAGATTCCATACTACTTACTCTGAATCACTATACTCTACTGCAACTCACGGACTTCCTTAGGTGCACCACGCTCTGTGTCAACTGTAAGTAACGATAACAGCCACACTTTTTAAACTCTAGGCATCGTACTAGTTACCTGATTTATGAGATAAAGTCTAAGCTAATTATGCCAGAGAGTAATAATTCTAAATCCTACTAGATTTGAAGGAATCAAGGTCTTTCTTTTTTAACCTCTCACTTTTTAAAAATTGAAATATTTTGATGTATAATATTGTGTTAGTTTCAGGTATACTACATAATGATTTGACATTTGCATAAATTATGAAATGATCACCAAGATTAAGTCTAATAACTTAATGTGTCTCCATACAACATTAGTATAGTATTATTGACCATATTCTTTATGCTGCATGTTACATCCCTGTGGCTTATTTATTTTATAAACAGAGGTTTGTACCTCTTAATCCTCCTTACCTACTTCATCCCCGTTCCCCGCCTGCCTGCCTTCCCTGAAGGAATCAAGGTCTTGATAATAACATGCCACTTCAAACTGGTTAGGAATGGGACATTGAGCCTGCTGATGGAGGTTCTTGGTCACCTTAGCTGTCAAGAAGTTGAGAAGGCAGAGGCTACAGAATATAAATCAGGGCTGTAAAGAGTCAAATACATCTTCTAGATTTCAGGTTGGGTGAATACAGCCTGAATAAATACAATAAAACTCTCAAGTTGAACTTTTCTGAAGACTTCTAGTACATGAGCAATTTTACCAGTCAATGGCAATGATCAACTCCAAAGGAAAGTCGTGCTACTGCTGTGTGTAGAATGCTGTGGTGCTACCACTTAATGAACCCCGTTCATTCCCAGCACTGCGTTGTGTGTTTATATGCCTTATTTTAAACTCTCAATTTTATGAGATGATTATCATCATTTGCATATGAAAAACCAAAGGTCAAATTATTAAAAGATAATTGTCCAAGCCACATAAAATAACAGAATGTGGACTCATACGTATGACAAAAAGATTACCTTTCTACTGTAACAAGGAGCCTCCAAACATTATGAGGAAGCTATATTAGTTTTTCCTAATTTCTTCCCTAAAAATTCATAACACATCCTCAGATTTTTCATTATTCTTGAGTATTTTGTAAATATGATAGTTGAATACATTCCACAGGGTCATCATTGCTCTGTAGTTATCCTCTAGAGTTAGTTTACTTTTGTGCTTGATACCCATGTTCAATGTCACCCACAAAATATTTGGACTCAGAATCATCTTTAAAGAATTTAGATGTGCTACACTGTGAGAGAAATTAGCTTCACAAACAGTATCACTGCAAAGAGAACATAGAGGTTCTGAAAGGAATTCCACCATCACTGGATTTCATGTGTGCACAGCAAAAGCAACACAGGCTAACTCTGCTTGGTGAGTTTGGGAATATGCCCCAAAGAGGAGGACACAGTTAACTGTCCCCAAAAAGGAAACTTCTCTGGGGGGAATAGAAGGATAATCACATAACCTTTGAGGTAAAGGTTAAATGGGAGGCAGCAGGGACCCCACATAATCTTAAGGCTGAGAAATGTTAGAGAGGTCCCAGGTTGGAGAAATACAGGCAGAAAATTCTTTGCCATCTTACCTGTCCTGAGGCAATGGGAAAAGGGGAGCTATTGACCTATAGGACACAAGTCTCCCTCCAACACTCTAGGAGAACCCCAGAATTCAGGTTGCAATCAGAGATGGAAGATGTTAAGGCCTCACCTGATGGGGAAATATTCAGCAATGCTGTCAGTTGCCACATGGACAGTTTGGTTGCTTCTGGAACCCTGTTTTGGACAGAAGGAATGTGGAGAAGGGGTCTTAGGAATAGGCTGAGACAAGCTCAAAATAGAGAACATAAAGGTTTTGGTTATGAGATGCACATTCCTTAAATTATACCCAGGGAGTCAGTCCTGCAAAACACTTGATATGCGCTCGCTCGCGCGCTCTCTCTCTCTCTCTCTCTCATGAAAGTGATTATAAACAAGATCTCAACTGACTAGCTCTCTTGCTTATTTTCCTATAAAGATAGGTCTAATACATTAATTTCCATTGAGGAAATATTGGGTCTGTTATATACGTACATGAGAAATCCACAGCCATTGTAAGCTATGATCTCTTGAGCTCATTTAAGCTCTGGCTAAGTCTTTATTTCCAAATGTTTGCATGTCACTTTTAAAAAAATTATTAGTAGTTTCAATAGCCATGAGATTACTCCTTAGAAATAGCAATTCTGTTAACTGGAAAAAGGTTTTCATCACTATTGTACTCCAAAAAGAATATCAAAGGGAAAACTGTACTATCAGCTAAGATTTGGTTCTCAGATATAAAAGTTCTACCCTTGCAGTTATCGTGAGCTAGCCATGAGCACAGTCTAGAATAGGAGGGTTCTATGAATTGAGTCAGAATAAGGCGTCATCCACCCAGAGGGAACAAATCTGGGAGGGAGAATCACTGTCAAGGTAGGACAGTTTCAGAGTAATAGTTAACATTTTTTTGAGTAGCCATTATATTCTGGTGCTCACTGAGCTCTATTTTTCATATTAAAATTTGTATTATAAAGTATTTAGAAATTATACAATAAGAGATGCCAATGTGCAGACCATAGAAATTTTGTTTTTTTTTTTTTTTTTTTGGCGGTACGCAGGCCTCTCACTGTTGTGGGCTCTCCCGCTGCGGAGCACAGGCTCCAGACGCGCAGGCTCAGCGGCCATGGCTCACAGGCCCAGCCGCTCCGCGGCATGTGGGATCTTCCCAGACCGGGGCATGAACCGGTGTCCCCTGCATCGGCAGGCGGACTCTCAACCACTGCGCCACCAGGGAAGCCCCAGACCATAGAAATTTAAGGTAACATTGTCATTTTTGCTTAAAATCCATCTCTTTTAAAGAGATAAAACATTACAAATTCAGCTAAAGTTTCTTGTGTATCACTCCAATCATATTTTTTATTTTTAGCACACCTATATTTACAGAATTTGCCTTTTTCACCCAGCAAATATTTTGATATTTACCTATGTTGATACATGTGGATCTGGTTGATTCACATTAGCTTCTACATGGAACTTCACCGAAGAATGAATCTCAGTTGATCCTCTCCAGTAGGGTCTTTCTACCCTTTTAACATTCAAAAAGTGCTGTAAAGACCAATCCTGTGCATATCTCCTTGTGTACTTGTGCAAATTTCTCTAGGTCCTCTCCTTGAAGCAGATTTTCTGGGTCATTAAGGTATGTTCCCTCCAACTTTATTAGGCATCGCCAAGATTATTTCCAAAGTGATTGTGTCAATTTACACATCTATCAGAAAGGTATGAGTTCTTTTGCCCACTTTTTTCTTGGTATTTTTTCTTTCTTATTGTTTTCTAAGTATTCTTTTGGAAATTATTTCAATGCAAATAAATTGTTCCAATCTATGGTTTAATACGTCACTTTACCAGTGTCTTTTATCACAAAAAAAATCTTAATGTGGAAAATTATAACATTTTCCTCCTAGGTTTGTGCTTTTTATCTTAAAAAGAAACTCTATACCTCAGTGTGATATATTTTATTTTCTTCTAAGTGTTTAAATTTCTTTCCTCTTCACATCACATTTATCTTCAAACCAGCTAGAATGTATTTTTGCGTATAGTATTAGGGAATCTCTTTTTGCAGAGATAGCCATTAAAAAAAGTCCATCCTTTCACCATTGTTTTAAAGCTATCTGTCATAATACCATGTTTTCATATACAGCTTGGCCTGTTTCTAGGCTGTTTTGGTCTATTGATCTGTCTCTATTTGCCTGTTGATGTCACACAGCTTTACTAAATTACTATAATTTTCTAATAAGTCTTGGTATCCAGTAGGGTAAGTTCTAATTTCTTTTTTTCAGAATTACTTTGCTCTTCTTGCTCTTTATTCTACCATATAAATTTTAGGATTAGCTAAATCTCCCATTAGTGTCTTTTAAAAAATCTATTTCTTAATAATTTGTTGGTAGTGAATGGGAACTATTAATTTTTTTTTCAGTTTTGTGGTTGATTGGCCAAATCTTTTATTTAGTATTCCATCGCTGATCAACACAAATATTTGATATTATTGGGGAAGAGGGGAGGGGTGCTGTGTGGCAAAAAAAAATCATGTTGTAATTACACTTGAAGTTGTACTGATTTTCCAAATTAATCTGGCAAGGTTGAGAACGGTTATGATAAATTCTTCTGAACCATGACAAGACATGAATCTCCATTTATTTAGGCTTCTTTTATGTCCTTTAACAAAAATTAGCAATTCTTCCATTAAGGTCTTACACATTTTTGCCAGGTTAACTCGTGGATCTTTTTTTTTTGGTTGAGCTATTTCTTGCATTTGATCTTCTGGGCCACTATTGCAGCCTCTCCTGTAATTCACCTACTTTATTATTTTGTCAAAAAATCATGTTTTTAGAGTCATATATGTGAGTGTGTTACATTCAGGTCTCTTTAAGGACTTTTTGTTGTTGTTCAGGTGTTCATCTGTTTCTCTAGCAATTATAACACTGAACATGGATCCTAATATTTTGACCCGATCCGTCTTTGCTCGTTAGAGATCCGTGACTGTACAATTACCTTTCTTTCAGATAAACAGAGGAATTCACAGGAGCTAAATGGAAAAGGTGTTTCTTACCCTGTGCTTGGGGTGAAAAAAGGAGATTCTCATATTCTTGAGCCACTTTGGAGGAAGCCTCTGTGATCTTTGCTCAAGCCCTTCTCCCCACCATAAGAGTATAGACCACTCAACCCATGCCCTTGCCTTTTGTGGACAGGAGGACCTCATAACAGGCTGAGATCCTCAGATGTTGAAATACCAAGCTCTCAGAGATCCTCTGAGTTTCTGAGCTCTAATGATGCTTACTTTTGATTCTTCCACCCCTAGGGGAAGAATCCCAATTCTCCAATTCTCTAGAGCCAAGGGCAAGTAGCTTGCAGTTAGGAATCGAAGCTATCTGGATACCCAAATCCACCCTTGGTATATTTTCTACTTGTTTTTTAAAATTTGTTGGTGGTGAAAGGGAATGGTATTAATTGATTTTATGAGGGGCGTTTTGCAGTTTTGTGGCTGGTTGGCCAAATTTTTAATATAGTATTCCATCCTAGTTCAACACAAGAATGGTATTTTGGGGAGTAAGGGAATAGGAGATTCTGCAGATTTCCAAAGAATAAGAAAACAGGCAAAATGTGGCCAGCATTCTCCATTTGTTTTTTTAGACTTACTGAGTGAATAGAACTTTCTTTCGTTACATATACAACTGATCTAAGTGGTTTTTGTTGTTGCTGTCGGCTGTTTGGTTTTTAATACGGTTAACACTGAGATTCACTTTGAAAGACACTTAGAAATCTTAGGAGTAAAACACACCAATCCCTCCCCCTCTCCCAAAAATCTAGTTGGTTTGAATGGACAGAATGACCGAATTTTCCATTTTAGGTGTGCAGAAAGATCTTTGTAAAAGATCTTAGAACTTTAGGCCTCATTTATCAGGTGAATTTAGAAGGAAGGAAGCCTTTAGGAGAATTTCTACTTGGAAATATAAGAAAACTAGTACGCAAGTTCAAGTCGTATACTTTTAAATGAACTTGTTGAAAGAAACGTTAACAATTCCAAAACGCAATCAAAACAAGTTTTAACTTTTTCCTCTCAAGAGTACAAAAAAAAAAATTATGGAGAGAAAGTTAACAGGAAATTCTTAAAACGTAAAAACAACTCTTCTTTGCGCTAGTCCTTAAGTAGTTACCATAGAACAGTCTCTACTTTTCGGCAGCTTCTTTGTAAAAACAACTCTTCTTTGCGCTAGTCCTTAAGTAGTTACCATAGAACAGTCTCTACTTTTCGGCAGCTTCTTTGAATGCAGATTTCGGTCCCAAGTCTCTTGGTGCTTAGTATCTGCTCCGGTCTCCCCCTCTCTCCGCACAGCTTCCCAGGCGGCCTCCGCCTAGTGGGGCCCTGCGGCCGGACCCGCTGTAGGACTCGCGCGGGGGCGGGCACCCCCTCTCCATGGACCGCAGCCTCCCGCGATCAGCTCTGCCTGCCCGGTCGCGGCCCCTCCAATAGCGCTCGCTCCGGCCGCCACCGTAAGCATCGGGCGGGCAGCCGCGGTACTCGTCGTAGCGGCCGCCGCCGTAAGATGGCGGGGGCCCCCGTGAAGGGGCGGCGCTGCGCGGGTCCCCGTAGCTCTCGAAGGGGTCTCGGTAGGAGCCTCCGCTCGGGTGATACAGGTAGTCGCGGTCGCGCCCCCCGTAGCCGTCTCGCTCACCGTAGCCTCTCGATGGACAGTCGTCCCGGGCGCTGGAGTGGCCGTAGTCGCGGTAGGTGTACTCTCTGGGCGAGGGAGCAAAACCCCGGGGGTCGCGGGCGCTCGAGTAGTCGCGGCTCGACGAGTAGCTGTCACGGGGCGAGTAGCCCTCCTCCCGGGGGCCCAGGTAGGGGTCCCGGCGCGGGGGCGGCGGCTCCCGGCGCAGCGGGCCGGCATAGCCGTCTCGGCCCCGCGTGGCCGGGGGCCGCCCGTGTATTCCACCATTTCCGCTGCGGGCCGGGCCCGACGGCGCGGCCCTCTTCGGGGGCGGGCCGGCCCTGCGCGGCGGCGGCGGCCCGCGCTTCACAGGCAGCGGGGCCCGGGAGGACCGCAGGTAGAAGTCGCCCGCGTAGCCGCCGTCGTCCGCCGGCCCGCCCCGGGACTGCGGGCGCCGTGGGCCGCTGCCGCGGTCCCCGAGCAGGCCCCTCGGGCGGCTATGGGACGGCGGCGGGCCCCGCCGGCTGCTCTCGAACGCCGGCTTGGTGGCCTGGGCCACCTTTATGGCCTTACCATCCAGGGTCTTGCCGTTCATATCTCTGGCGGCGGCCTTGGCATCTGCCGGGCTTTCGAAGGTGACGAACGCGAAGCCCCTGGACTTGCTGGTTTCTCGATCTTTCATCAGGAGCACCTCGGTGAGGCAGCCATACTTGCCAAACGTGGCCTCGAGGATTTTCTCGTCGGTTTCGAGGTTGAGCCCGCCAATGAAGAGCTTCCCCGGGCGGTCCACTTCCACCATGTCTGCGGGTCGGGTGGTCAGTGGCGTGGGCGGCGAAGTCGAGGCACGGGTCTTGGCTTCCGAGCCCCGCTGGCCGAAGGCGGCTCCTACCGGTTGGGCGGCGCGTCGTCGCGGAAACCCCGGAACCACAAGTCGGCTGCGCAGGCGGAATGCTCCGGTTTGTGCCTCTCGGGTCTAGTTCCCGCCGCCTGGCTGGCTCTTGCTGGTTGTGATTGGTTGGTGGTGCGGGGAGGGCCGTCCCGCCGGCAACGAGGCAAGTTGGCGGTTTTGTGACTTTTTTCACACTCGTTTACCTTTGGCCTGAATTCTTTCAGTCACTCCTGAAAAAAAGTTTTTCCCATTGCTCTTAACGAGAGGAATTTTAATGCGTTCCAATCCACGTTACCTAAAACCATATTCAAACAGAAAAAGTAGTTGAAAAAAATGGAATAATAATTTTAAAGTTTTAAAATGCAGTTTCTACGTAAAATGTGTTAAGAATAAGATGTTTTGCGTTGCCAAGGGGAAAGAGAAAATGATAAGTGGAGGGTTCTTTGGTGGTATAGGAAGAAGAGGGAGTCATTCTTTGGATGTGCCATCTTTCCCTCCTGCACCGTTTTCTTGCATTTTTCAACCTTCAAAGGACTCAGTTATGTAGTTTTGAAACTGCCCTTTAAGATAAATATTGAACGGAAAGTCACCTGAGGGACAAAATAAAGGCAAATGTGACAGCACTAGGACACTCGCCAAAGTAGCACCTAAGCAAGCATAGGACACTAAAGACTTTACCGCTTCATCGCGAAAGAAAGGCGCACCTCAGGAAAACAAAACATTTTGGGTTCATTCTAACGAATTACACAGTTCAGATTTGTTCCTCACGATATTCTCTGAATGGAAATAAGTATGAAAAGTAAATTGGTGAACTATCTTCACCCAAGATAGTAATGTCTAAAGCCACTTTTTTTTTAATATTTACTTTGTGTGGGAGTGTGTATATATATATATATTATGTGTTACTTTTTTTATTGCAATAGCCATATAATCTTGAAAAGGGTACTGCAAGGAGGCATTTTTATGATGTTTCTGATTTTAATGGGTACTCTTTTAAGGCTTTGAGAGTTTTTTAGCATGCATAAATGGAAGTTAAAGTATAAATGCATCCCATCAGTTCATGTGAGGAATTGCAGTAACAAATTTTTATTATTAAAATCATTATTATATTTCTAAGGTAAACTTACCTGTTGGGATGTATTCATTTTTAAATATATTAACGAATTTTGTTTGCTCATACTTAGAAATTTTACATTTCTGGGCATAAAGGGTATTAGCCAATAATTTTCTTCCCCATACCTAGCTGGGGAGATTTTTGCCCAAATTTCTTTTAGTTTTCAGTCTATTCAGATTTTTAAAAATTTCTTCTTGACTTGGTCTTTGTAAGATATACTTTTTTCTAAAAGTTATCCATCTTTGTTTAATTTGAAAATTTATTTTATCAATAGCCTGTCCGGTTTTCCTTTCTTTTTTTGTGACCAGTCTTGCCAGAAGTTTTTTATCTTTTCAAAGAACTACACTTTTTCTTTGCTGATCCTCTGTTTTGATTTTATTTGCTGCTACTGTCTTTTTTCCTTTCCATAATTCTTTGGATTTACAATTTGTATTATTTTCATTCTAGATTTTTAGGTAAGACACTTAGCGCATTAAGAGTTTCAAAAAACATTTCTTCTGATTGTTATATCTAAGTTTAAATTTTACTCTCCATGTACTAGTTAACAGCATGCCCTGAGCTGTGATACATGGTTATTTTCACTGTTGTTCAGTTCCTAACATTTTCTCATTTTCATCATTTCTTGACTCATGAATTATAAAGAAGTATGTTTTAAAAATTTCAAACATATGGATATTTTTGGTTTTCTAACATGCTCTATATGATATCCATACGTTGGTATTTGCTGAAACTTGCTTTACGACCTGAAGTATATGTGTGCTTGTGTGTGTGTTGTGTGTCTAATAGTCCACGTATGCTTGAGAAGAAAGTATATTCTCTAAATATTGGGGTAGAATTCTTTCCTTATATAGTGATGTTCAAGTCTTCCTCATCCTAACTTATTTTTTATTTGATAGAGTTGTTGAGAACTGTTTTAAACTCCCATAATTGTGGATTTATTAATTTCTCTTTATTTTTATGTCCATTTTTGCCTCATGTAACTTAAGATTATATTGTTAAATGCATGAAGATTGAGAATTGCTATGTATTTCTGGTGAATGATTTTATTATGTAATGATCCTCATTATTTATAATATTTTTTTACCTTAATTTGTTTTGTCTGACACTTATGTAGCTCAATATTTTTCAGAATTTTTTCTGCCAGCTTATTGTGTGCCGTCTGTTAACCATGCCTTTCTTGCCTCTTTTTTCCATCTTTCCTGCCATCTCTGGTATCACATGATTTGACTATTCCTTTCTTTTTCCTCTAACAATATGGAAGAAGTTATGTTTTCTATATCTATTCCTTGAATGATTACCTTTAATGTTTTTATTGAGGGCTAACTTATAAACACAAAATTTACAAGTTTATGTATAAAATCTTAAATTTACTGCTTAATTAATTTTTACATATGTGTACATCCATGTAAACATGGATGACCCACATCAAGATCTATAACATTTCCATCACCCCCAATTGTTCCCTCATGCCCCTTTCAAAATAATACCTTCCGCTCAGAGGTAACCACTTTTCTGACTTACATAAGCATAATTTTGTTTTGCTTGTTCTTTGACTTTATATAAATGGAATCATATAGAATGAACTCTTCTGTGTCTGGCACTCAGTATATTTTTGAGATTCATCCATGTATTGTACACACCAGTAATTGCACTTTTTCTTTGATTTTTTTAGTCGTCGTATGACTATACCAAAATATTTTTTTTTCCATTTTTCTGTTGATGGACATAGGAGCTTGTTGGGGAATGATTCCTTTTTCCTCCAGTTACCACAATGCCCTCTCCCCATATAATCAGTCCCAGATCCCACAATACATCCAGAATCCATTCACTTAACTACTTCTGCACTACAATCACCTTCATACCAACTACCTATGTCCCTTAGCTGGACACCTGCTGGGGACACAAAGTCTTATGAGTGGGTAAAATGGTCAACAGTCCCAAGGGTCTGGGACTCCTTGACAAGGGAGCCTCATGTCCCTTGTCAAGTATCAAAACCCATTGGTGATCTGTACCCGGAGCTGCAATTAGATTGAGAGAATATAGAAATGTAAGGGTTGATAGAATTTAAGTGGAGGTTTGGATGAGAATTGGAATGTTTAAACAGGCTTTACGTGAAATGATAGGGTCTCTTTGTCTCTTTTACCTGAGTGTATTATGTGGATGGATATTGTATCTGACTGAGGAATGTTTCCCCTACCTACTGTTGTAAAACACAAGACAGAAATTGCTCCTTAAGCAGCATTAATAGGACATGCTAAATGGGAACAAGTAAGATTGCCTGAACACAAATGATGCGACCAACAAGGAATTAATTTCCAAAATATAAAAACAGCTCATACAGCTTAATATAAAAAAAATAAACAACCAAATCAAAAAATGGACAGAAGACCTAAATAGACATTTCTCCAAAGCAGACATACAATGGCCAACAGGCACATGAAAAGATGCTCAACATCCCTAATTATTAGAGAAATGTAAATCAAAACTACAATGAGGTACCACCTCAAACCAGAAGAATAGCCATCTTCAAAATTCTACAAATAATAAATGCTGGAGAGGGTGTGGAGAAAAGGGAACCCTCCTACACTGATGGTGGGAATGTAAATTGGTGCAGCCAATATGGAAAACAGTATGGAGGTTCCTTAAAAAACTAAGGTTACCATATGATCCAGCTATCCCACTCCTGGGCATATATCCAGAGAAAACTCTAATTAAAAAAGATATGTGCACCCCAATGTTCATTGCAGCACTCTTTACAATAGCCAAGACATGGAAGCAGTCTAAATGTCCACTGACAGATGAATGGATGTGGCATATCTTCATACACACACACACACACACACATACACACACACACACACACACACACACAGAGGAATATTACTCAGCCATAAAAAGAATGAAATAATGCCACTTGCAGCAACATGGATGGACCCAGGGATTATCATACTAAGTGAAGTAAGTCAGACAGAGAAAGACAAATATATGACATCACTTATATGTGGAATCTTAAAAAATGATAAAATGAACTATTTACAAAACAGAAATAGACTCACAGACATAGAAAACAAACTTACGGTTACCAAAGGGGAAAAGGGGGCGGGATAAACTAGGAGTTTGGGATTAACAGATACACACTACTATATATAAAATAAACAACAAGGACCCACTGTGCAGCACAGGGAACTATCAATATCTTGTAATAACCTATAATAGAAAAGAATCTGAAAAAGAATGTGTGTGTATATATACACACACACACACATATAGACATACATATATATCTGATTTACTTTGCTGTACACCTGAAACTAACACAACACTGTAAATCAACTATACTTCAATTAAAATTTCTTTTCACAAAAGACTGCCTGAGCCCACACAGTATAGAATAAAACCTTGAATGCTGGTACGAGTGAATCCTCTGTACCAGAGACCTATGTGGAGTATAAACAGGTTTATAGCAAAAGCTTGTGAACACTCCACAGTAGTGACTCCTGGGACTTGGACTAGAGAATGTCCATTTGAGGGGCAATTACTAGCTTGCTACTGAACATTAATTGAAACTGTCCCTATGACTGAAGGACAAAAAAAATAATCTTCTCACCTCGCACCCATTAGTATGGTTACTATCAAAAAAAAAAAAAAAAGAAAGAAAAAAACAGAAAATAACATGTTGGGGAGGATGTGCAGAAACTGGAACACTTGTGCACCTACTGGTAGGAATGTAAAATGGTGCAGCCACTATGGGAAACAAGGTGGTGGTTTTTCAAAAAATTAAAAACAGAATTACCAGATGATCCAGCAGTCTACTTCTAGGTATGTATAAAAAAAGAATTGAAAGCAGGGTCTCAGATGTTTTATACCCATGTTCATAGCCACATTATTCACAATAGCCAAGAGGTGGAAGCAACTCGTGTCCATTGCCAGATTAGTGGATAAACAAAACGTAGTATATATGTACAGTGTAATATTATTCAGACTTAAAAGGGAAGGAAATGCTGATACCTGCTATAATATGGATGAAGTTGGAGGACATTATGCTAATTATTTAAAATAAGCCATTCACAAAAAAGACAAATACCGTATGGTGATTTCACTTATAAAAGGTGTCCTAGAATAGTCAAGTTCATAGAAACAGAAAGTGGAGCAGCGGTTGACAGGGGTGGAGGGAGGGAGAA